AGTGTACAAAGATCCTGAAGCAGGGAAGCCTGTGGTAACAGAGACTGGTGATTAACATTGTTGTGATACCAGTTATCAGTGACTGGGGTTTTTAGGTTTTGTCATTCCAGCTAACACGAAGAAAACTTGGCTATGTTGAACTTCCTTTCTTCCTTAGTATAGCCCTCTTCGTAGTGCACCTCTCTGTAATGTAAAGTGTTAGTTAGTGTAAACCCTATAATCACTTTCAAATAACCTAATTTATTAAAGCATCATTTAAAGTCCTGTAAATAATTATAATTACACTAGATTGGTATATTCAAGCACAAAGGACGTTCACAAGGGGGCAAGATCTTAACTGCATCACCAAATGCTAGGTTGAAAACACAGAGCTTCAGAGAATGGCACTGTTTTGGCCTGCACTCATTTCTGTTTGCATACCACATTTCCCTGCCTCTATTTTGAGCCTGAGGAGATGTGAGGGGGTGCACTGCAGGGCATTTCCATCCAGGGCTACAGGGACTGTGGGAGAAATGTGGATAGGTGACCGATGTATTTCTTATTGCCTCAGAAGGAGCCTGTGTCATGGCTACTTTAGCTTATCACTTTAGCTGTGTTAATGCATGATTTATGTATGACTGCCTGAGTCGATAATTGTATACTATGTCATTGTGGCTTCTTACTTATCATGCTCATTAAAGTAATAATTTTACGTGATTATTTTTAATGTGTTTGGAATTTTGAAGATGTATTTGAGAGTAGCATAGAATTAAAAGGGGTTTCTCTTCTATTACAAAACATTTGGTCCTTTGCTGAGCAGGCTTTTTGGATCCTAAATGAATGGTATATAGTATAAAGAAGCAAACACTAGAGGTGAGAGTGAGCAGAGAAGAAGGAAAACTAGCATTCATCTCATGATTCCTGTCACACTTTCCTGGCACTGTCTCTGGCCTCTGATTGAAGATTGGATAAATGTCAGCTTATGGAGATGAGAGAGAAGAGCAAGATAATGCTATTTTGGACCTTTATATAGCAGCCATCAGCAACTATGTACTCAACTAAAAAAAAATGCTGTTCTGGAAAGGTAGACAGTAAAACAGTAAATGGACTTCATAAATATATAGTGCTTTCTGAACACTCTCTGTTCTCTGCATTCCTTTACAAGTAAGGGGGAGAATAGAGAGGACAACCACTTAAAAGGTATCATTTTATACATTTAGTTATCTCTGAATTTGGTTCATCAACATATTTTTTTCATTCTAAAGAGTCAATTGAGTGTTTAAATTTTTTTCAGAGGCAAACCAAACGGAGTTTACCTTGAATGGGATGAAGGCAATGCTTTTACACCATCTAGTGTTGAAAGGTTGAAGAGAAGCCTGCTGTTCTTGAGTGACTTTGTTCTTTCACTGGAATGTTTGAGTTTCACTTTGCAGCATTTAAACCATCTGTTTAAGAGGGTTTCAGCAAGTGAAATTAAACCAAACAATGGTGGATTCTACTTTAGATTTTTATCTTTCATCTATTTTCTGCTGAAAATGTTCCTGTGTCATTTCTGAAATTTTTATATAGAGTCACGTGAAAATGAAAGTAGACCCTCTTTCGATTCATCTGGTAATTAGGTTGTATTTACTTCATTTTAAGACAAGCTAACACCACGTGTCACTTTTTATTAAACAAAACGAATCCTAAATTTGGAAGTAGTGTACACCCTTACTGCTTCCAAAGGAATAAAGAGGAGAAGTAGCAGATGGGTGATGGTAATCAAATGCACTTAAATAACTGATCATGTTTTGGCATTTTGTTCATTTGGTGCATTCAAATGGGTGATAACACAATGCCAAAGAGGAAAGATATCAGCAATGATCTTAAAAGAACTATTATTGTTGCCCATCTATCTAGGAAAGATTATAAGGTGATTTTCAAACAATTTAAAGTCTGTAACTCTACTGTGAGAATGATTATTTACAAGTGGGAAACATTCAAGACAATTGACAGTCTTCACATCAGGATCTGCAATGCTCAAAGAAATTGCAAAAACCCAAGGGTTATCTTAGGATACAGGCTTGAGTTGGCATGGACAGACACGACCAAAGTTGAGATATCTGGTCATAATGCACAGTGCAACAGCATAAAACACAGCATATCTGCACAAATGCCTCATACCAGCTGTCAAGCTTCAGTAATGGAAGGGTGATGATTTCAGCTTATTTTGCAGCCACAAGACCTGGGTAACTTGCAGTCAGATTTGAAAATGAAGTCCTCTAAACACCAAAGTATTCTACTGTCAAATGTGAGGCCATCTTTCCAAGAGGAAAAGTTGGCCCTAATTGGGTCATGCAACAGGACAAAGAATCCAAGTACAAATCTGCAACAGAATGGCTGAAAAAGAAAAAAAAAATCAAGGTGTTGCAATGAGCCGGTCAATGTCCAGACCGCAAGCGGCTTGAAAGGCTGTGCATAAACGAATCCCAGCAAACCTCAATGAACGGAAGCAACACTGTAAAGAAGACTGGGCCAAAATCCTTCCCCAATAATACAAGGGACTGAAAGTCATACAGAAGGCACTTGCTTCAAGTTATTGCTGTTAAAAATGGATGTACAAGCCATTCATGGGGTGTACTTAGTGTTTCACACACTGCTTCTACATGTTGTTAAATTAATATTAAACAAGTAATTTAAGTAATTTTAAAACCTGGCATAAAGCAGATGATTTTTTTTATTGACCCTACATGCAATGCAATACAAAAAAATAAAACAATATACGATTGAAATGAGCCATTCTGCACTGCTGATTCCTTTGCAAATAGTAATGAACTTTACATCTTTTTTAAATGTTGGCATTTCTTCTAGTACTTGTCTGAGATTTTTAATTAGAAGATCTGAGACCTTTTTTGCCACAGGCAATGTGAAAACTTGAAGGCTGCAGTCAAAATACACTCACAAGAGACTTTCAGTGAAGTGGGAGAGATCTTATGTTTGGCAGTCTAATGTTAATTAGATGGGATTAGGTTGCAGTTTAAAAGCTCATAAAAAGATATATTTTTGTGGTTAAAAAAATGTATTAAAAGCAATTTTAAACTAAGAGAACGTGCATGTGAACCGGCTACACAAGTATACATTTTTAAGGCAATATAAAGGCAGATGAAGTATCTCTTCCTAAACTAACCAGGGTAAATAATAATTTAATTCAAAAGTAGATGTCCTGCTTCAGTAACCAGAAACTGCTGTTTATTTTTAACACTCCCTGACATGCCTCTAAGATAATGTTAGTTGACAATTACCAAAAGAAGCTGCTGTATGTCCAGAAGAGGAAATGGATGTTAATGAATGCCTGCACGTATTTCTAAAGTAACTGACCTTCATCTCCATGTCGAAGACAAATCAGTTACACATCTTACAGGGGTTAACTGTGAATCTTAAATACAACACTGTGCAGAAAGGTACAGCTACAGGAAAATGTGACTGTTTGTGAATGTTCTGTATAAGAGGTGCAAAGACAACAAACACAAAAAAAAAAAGAATCAAGATTTTTTGAAGAAGAAGAAGAAGAAGACATCTGAATAATGCATGCATCACAGTTTTGTGTTTATGGGGAAATGCAGTCACTATAGATGAAAATAAACATTCAAATGATATACCAGATGATGTGCTGATTACTGATTGAATAAAAGTGGACTAAAAAGTACTACAAATAAACAAAAAAAAAAAAGTTGCCAGTATGTGAATATATAGTTCAGTAAAACTCCTAGTATCTTTTACTGCACCAGTGCCTGTTATAAAACCCACGATTAAAGTTGAACAGAGTCAGTTTTAATGAAAAACCAGTGTTAAATTTGCCTCCACATTTTACAACCTTGCCAGAAGCCCATATTTGGTCACAACCAGTGGAGATTTGCTTCTTTTATGCAATCATTATAGGGATTAGCTATTAACTCCATTCATCCCTCCATTCATTTTCTTTCACTTATCCAAATGTATTAAGTCCTTTATTTTATTCATACACCTCAAGGTTAAGTACTTCAACAGCTGACTCATCGCACTTCATTACTGAATTCAGATTGGGGTTTTTTTTAAATCCCAAAAAACTCTCCCAAAAATCGAAATCATGTTGGAGCCTTAAAGTGCAATTTGTCTGCTAGTTTCTCTGCAGGTTGACATTAGTTCTTGAAGTGGAGGCCAAGGTAAAGACTGCAGTTTGCTTTTCACACATTAACTATCCCCACTTGCCATCCTGAACTTTATACTGGACCGGCACTACTGCTAATATGTTAAAAGTGCTGCACAAAAAAGGGGCAATGATTAAATTAACAGTGAAAATATTTCATACTGGAATGAAAGAAAAAGTAAGTAAGCTTCAGCATCCTGTGACAATGAATGTCTGAAAAAATCCATCAGACTAGACAAAGTGTGCCAGTGAACTAATAGTTATAGGCATATTTATATAATATTGCTATAGACTATATATATTGACTTTTTTTTTTACTCGATTCTAAACAAAAATTATGTTTCTTAAAGATTTACAATACAATTTAGAAGCCTGAATGGATAGAGAGTGACATTGTCTTATTAATTATAGATACAGAGATTTTATAACCAACAAATACTATAGGCCTATTTGCAGTGGGCAAAAATGACAGTTGGCCGAAACACAATTTTTGTTTGTTATATCATATTGTGATGTTTTTATTACACAAACGTCTTTTGTAATGTGTCTGAGTTTTCCAGGTGTCAAAGAAAAGATAACTTGTCAATGAGACACACATGTATAATTGCTTCCTGAGTGACACATTTTCCACTGTATGATTCGATACTACTAGCTTGTAGTATTTTACCTCACAAACCGGTTTTCAATGCTAATCATTGACACAATTCAAGTGGGGATATTTTTGTCGGAAGAATCTCCACTTCATCCATTAACTCGAGAGGACATCCTTTCCTGTTAAGCAATACAAAGTGGTTAGGGCTTAAAGCTTTAAAAGGGATCAAGAAACTCATTATGTTGCAGCAAGTATCCACGGAAACTCTGTGAAGCTGCTTTCCCATAACGTGTATGCAAAAGTTGGTTCTAAAAGGAAAAAAAATATCTTCTTGAAAGTGTCACTGAGCTACATCAATTTTTATTGAGCCCAAGATGTTTCTGGATGAGCGGATTGTAACTCTGTTCAAAAGGAATGCCCATCACACACTCACTTACTGGAGTGTTTTCTTCAGCTTTGGACTCTGCATTGCTTTTCTTGGACCTACGATTTTAGACTTGCAATGTCAAACAAACTCAACACTTAGTCAGATCACCTGGGTGTTTTTTGCCCAACAGTTCTGCTTATTGATTGGCAGCTCTGTTGGTGGTATTTTCAAGAGAACGTAAGTATCACAATCTCGCAACTAGAGTCTGTGCTGTCATATTAAAGTCTTGAAGGCCTGCATAAATGACCTCTCGTTCTCTCTTTTCTTTTTTAAAGGTTGTTGACCGCTCTTGCGGCCTTATTTTTTTCTGCTCTTGTCATCTCTGTAATATTTGCCATCATCCCTCTGTGCAATAATGTCCTTGTTTTGGCCATTGCCATGGCTGTCTCTGGTTTGGCAATGGGTCTGATTGACACTATTGCTAACATCCAACTGGTGACCATATATCAGAAGGACTCTGCCGTTTTCCTACAGGTGAAAAAGTACCGACATGATCAAAATACTGAAATTCAATGAGCCGATTCAGATGTGTTTGCTTTGTCTGTCAAGTATTATCGAGATATTATATAGAGACAAAACGATGAGAATATTTGCAAAAGATTCTCAATAGGAGTGCACTGTGAAGTTAGGTGCTAGTAATATACTGTGTTCTTCAAAAACTGCAGTAAGTAATGTCCTTGGCCTTTCTACTTTTTTGCAGGCTCTTCATTTTTTCATTGGGTTCGGTGCCCTAGTGAGCCCACTGATTGCAGATCCTTTCCTCTCAGAGACAGGCTGTGGGAATCACACAGGGAATGAGACTGAGGTCATACATCATTTCAGAAGCATGCTGAGAAACAGTCCAATCGTAGAGCACAGCATACCTCTGAGCAACCTGTCCCATGGGGTAGAGAAAGAGGAGTCCAGTGTGCACTATGCTTTCTGGATCATGGCACTTATTAATGTAAGAAGCTGAACAGATGTACATTGAATGAGAGGAGCAGGGTTTTGTTTGTTTGTTTGTTATTGTATGATTATTGTTTCTTGAAATAAGAAAAAAAAAGTTGAATATTTGTTTACTTTCAGCTGCCTGTGCCCATTGCAGTCCTATATCTGATGTATCGAGAGCAGCTGATCCCATGTTGCCCCAATGGCACGCCACGTCTTTTGGACAAGGATGAACTAGCAATGGAGAGCCAGCAGGGGGCCGAGGGCCCAGCTGTGGAACAGATTGAACATGAAGCTGGGGGTAAGGATATAGACAGAGAGATTTTTGCACCGGGACTATTTTAAAATGGAAAAATACACAATTTTTATGATTTTCCAACCAGTTTGGATAAAAAACAAAGGAATGAATTGCACTTCGTGTACACCAATCTGTCATTTTGTGACTTTTTGCCCAGTTACAGGTCATGGGAGTATCTTTAGCTGCTGTCAGAATGATAACCTGCGCGGGCTGCCTTTATCCTTCTTTATGATTCATATTCTTGGTGGGATGGTGCTTTTTATGACTGATGGTATTGTGGTGAGTGAGGAGTGCAGATAAATGACATGGTGTTCATTTCACCTAATATTTTACACATAGTTTTATGTGTGCTTACAAAAATTGCTCCACATAAATCCCAGAAAGTAGAGCACATGAAAGAACGTCGATTTTCATTGCAGGGTGCATATGCCGGCTTTGTGTACACCTACGCTGTGGCACCACCGATGTCCTTGCCTCATAAGACGGCTGGTTACCTGGCCAGTATCTTTTGGGCAGCTATCACTGCTGGACGTTTGCTGTCCATACCACTCTCATATCGTTTCCATCCTGTGAAACTACTCATATTCAACCTGGTAAGGCCAATAAAACATTTAGAGGTGATATATATCACTTGGTGATATATAAATGCTAAATGGAGCATATATCCTCTTCTTTGTTTTTTTATTTGTCTTTTACAGGCAGGAGCTATTGTTTCTGTGTTGTTGCTGCTCATTTTCTACACCAGCAGCATCTTTCTGTTTGTCGGGACGTGTTTATGTGGCCTCTTTCTGAGCAGCATATTCCCTTGTATGCTTGCCTACACTGAAGACATCCTTGACTACCAAGGTAAGATGAAGTGTTATCTGCGCATTAAGAATAACTCAGCAGTAGAATGAGTGCAAGAGGTGAAGTAATAAACTATGCATGCATTTTTTTACAGGTTGCGCAATCTCTGTCCTTGTGACAAGTGCAGGGATGGGAGAGATGGTAATGCAAGTTCTTGTTGGCTCAGTAAGTGTGATGACTATCTTCATTATTAAAGAGAGAATGTGCAGAAGTTGAAAAATGGGCTTTTAATTGCGAAGAAAAAAAACAAGCCCAGTCGAGATTTAAGATTCATGTTCAGGAGTTAAATTTTGCTGTCTCATCTGCAGATTATTCAGACTGAAGGCAGCTACAGCTTCCTGCTGTGTGGAATGATAATTGCCTGCATTGGTTTTATCCTCTTTATTGGTCTCCTGCTGTTCCATCGAATGCACAGAAATTACCTCACAGGTACAGCATCAGCCAGAATCCTCAGACACTCCTTTGAAATAAATAATTGTGGGTGTGCTGAAAGTTTGTTTGTTTGTTTTTCTTTGCTCATCAACCCCCTCTCCAACCCCCCTGCCATCCAAACAGGAACCTCAAAAAAGTCAGCCATGGTGGAGGAGCCAGCAACAGAGCAGAACGGGGAAGTCAAAACAGAACAGATAGACAACGAAGAGAATATTCAAGAGAGCCCGAACTGATGTGTATTTAACCGCCGACTGGTAGAGACTGAGTATTGCAGTACAAAAAGGTCATCAAACAGTGTGTGTGCAAGTGTATCTTTTTTTGTGTGTTTTTGCAAAGCAGTACTGTTTTAGATGACAGTCTGGTCTCTTAGATTGTTTTTATAAATTACAACCTGCATTCATCAAATTGTGTTTTATTCTGTTTTATATTGCATTTACAATACATGATCAACATCAGAAGAGCTTCCACCACTGGCTCCATTAGCTGTGTTCATTCTGGTTATTAGTGAAGGGGACTCGACTGGGGTCAACAGGCTGGAAAACTTCACAAATAAATAGTTATTGTTCGGATAGTTCTGCTTATGCCTCTGGATTTGTAGGGTGAGAGAGCGAGGAAAACCAAACCCAGCTTACACTTTAACAGAGCAAAGTACACCCTGCACAGATCAACACAAGTTCCTAAATGGATTCCGTAATATATTTTCGTCCACATTTGGGCTGTTTTTGAGGAGATTAATTGTTGCGTACTTTCCATAGCTATTAAAATTGAGTTATGGGGTTTGTAGTCATCCATAAAAGTAGTTCATACTATGACATCTCCAAACTTGCTCTTTGTCAGCAAGTCAACCTTCAGGTGACCAGCAGGGAGCGATATAGACAGCATCATTATCATGATTAAAAACTTTATCTGGAAAATGTGAAATGAAATACAGCTAATCAAAAACATTTGTTCTTCCTTCCTATTGCAAAATGACCCTATTGCAAAATGGCCCTTCCTATTGCAAAATGGGAATCAGATTTATGAGTCAGCTTAGACCAAAACTTCCTGTTTCAAATATGCTTAAAAACCTTTAAATTGATTAGAAGTCCAGTCTACAATTAATACAAAACAAAATACTACATAGATTGCACTATACAGGTCAACGGATGTTCAAGATGGGCTTTACGTCTACCAGCAACTGCCCACACTGTCAAGGCAATACACTGGACAACTACATCCACGCTTTTTGGTTCTGTCCACCAGTTCAGAAGTTTTGGCACGGGATATGGGAAGACTTACTAAAGTGTCTGAAATGTAACATTCCAACCTCCCCTCTAGTGTGCTTGTTGGACAACTTGGATGATGTCACTACAGAAATGAATACAGCCTGCATGGTTTTCACTGCGGTATGCATTGCTAAGAAAATTAACTGGAAATGAACTTGAAAAATAAAAATAATATTAAGTCTGACCAATATAGAGACCATCTAATAGATCACATGAGTCTTGATATAGCCTCTGCCACCACATTAGATCAGTACCTCTGGGCTCCTTTGATCAGCTCCATCCCCTAGTAGGGGTGGGGGGTTGTAGTTTCATCCCGCCTTTGCTATTGTGGTTGATGTGGGGAGTAGGGACGGCCTTAGGGCGTCTGGGGATCCCCTAGGGACAATTCCCTGGCTTAACCCGGGGGCTGTGGTCACGACCTGGTTAGGGGCACTGGTGGCTCTTGGATGGTGTTTTTCTGGTGGCTGCATGCAGCAGGGCTGGGGGAGGGTCTGTGCTGGCGGACATAGGTTAATGGCCTGGTAGTGTGGCTGCCCCTAGGTGGGTCTTTGGCGGGCATGGGGCCTTTGGGGTTCTGGGGGTGCTCTGCCTCCGGTCTAGGGCTTTGGCTGGGTCTTGGGGGCTTGGGTCCTGGTTGTTGTGTCACCAAGGTTGTGGGCAGGTGCGTGCACGGGGGCTCAGCCCTGGCGCGGGGGGCCTCTGGTGCATCGGGCGAACTGGGGGCCTCTTCAACTGGCAGGGAGGTTATTACATCCTTGCAGGAGTTCTCTACTCTCCAGGAGTTCACCCTGCAGGTGGGGGAAAGATATAGGAGAGGTGGTCCTCCGTTGGTCCTCCTTGGGCTCTCGCGCTCTGAGGGCCTCTAGATCTTATCCATGCCTGCTTCATGCCCTGGGGGACGGCGCTGTGGCTCTCCACAACCTCTAGCATATCGTAACATGCAGAAACCTTTTAAATACAAGCACGCCTGTCCACACAGCTATGCACACAGGTGTCACAGACACAAACTGCACCTTTCTTGGCTGCTGCCTCAAAGCACATTGTGCGCTGTTGGTCTTGGGTGCTGCACAACAACATTCGAAATGTAGTATTTACTCTTACTTACATTTATTTAGGTTATTGCAGTGATGTTGTGTGTATTGTGTTGCTCTCTTTTTGGTTGTTTTCTCTTTTTTTTTCTCTCAACAGGTGATCCAGGTGATTTCTTTTCTTATTTTTTTTAAGTGCCGTCTCTCACTGTTCATCTTCTGCTCTGTTTTTCTTTCCCTCCCTCTCTTTCTTTCTCCCTTTACTACGCAAAAATTTCCCCGTTGTGGGATCAATAAAGTCTTATCTTATCTTATCTTATCTTATCTTATCTTATCTTATCTTACTATCCCCCAGTCATGTTTGTCCCATCTGTAATAACTTAAAATAAAATAAAACAAAATACAATAAATAAATAATATTAACAAAGGTCAATCAAATGGACCAATACAGCAAGGCCGTGATGATCCACTTGGTAAAGTGAATCTGTTGGGCATCTTTCTTGGCCTTCAGACAACAATTTTGATGGTGAAAGAACCAAACGGGACAGGCAAGAGAAAAAAATAAATGTTCTTTTCACCTTTCCTCCTATATGGCAAAGATAAATGCTTCACACTTAATATATGAATGTACTGAATACATATAGGTTATGGAGATTAGACCATTTTAACTTAGTTCAGTAACTCATCACAGCCAAAAACTGCCCTGACAAATGAAAAATAAGTATTCTCTGTGTGTCTGTACCCTTGATCTGGAAGTTCTTGATGATGTCATAGCCCATGGATATGCTGTGGTTTTCCTTTGTAGTCATATGGCAAATCCCGAGGCTGACTCCATACTTCAGTTACTTCATCTGTCAAAGACTCACAGATTCGTGCTGTCACAAAGCAGGGCATCAGTGACAGCATGAAATGTCATCAGTTATTTAATCAGGAGTGTGTCTTACTTTAAACAACCAACTTATTCTGAGGCCGTGCATGTGCTTTTGTATATATAACTGCAACTATATCTTACAGATGTAAACCTACAGAAACTGTGCGTGCGTGCGTGCGCTGTACAAAACACCCAATTTCAATGAAGATATTCGAATACTCACCACAGCTAAATAGCCACTCTTATCCTAGGAGCATTTGAAGTTACTGTACTCACAAACCATAAAATTCACATGTCATAATATTAATATCCAGGGCCTTAGTGGTGAAAAACAAAACCTTACAATGGCAACAGGTTTAGGTTAATTATTTCAGGGTCCAGGAGTTCATTTTTAGAGCCATTTCATTCAACTGCAATGCACTATAATGCTTCAAATGCATACTGGCCACGCTTGTCAATATGATAAGCAGAATCAATGGTCTCCTTTCCAGCCAACACAGCAGCAGACATAAGAAGACAAGCCTTGTTGCACTGCTTGGTCTCATTCTGAAAGTCAGGTTTCATCTCTTCCTCTGAATGTCAGCAGATATCAAATATTTAGTGCTGAACTTCAGATATCATGATTTTTAATATGTTCAGGTGGTGAGCTGGACACCCCGTGGGGTTTTATTGTGGCATTTTGTCACATTGCTATCAGGTACAGAATTATTTAAAGCTTACTGACACTAAAAGTACAAGTGGAGTAGAAGACTAGACACTCCAAATAAACAGATAAATAAATAATGTTATAATAACTCCAGGAAAACCTCAGGAGTCCTCAGGAGGGCATTGTCTGAATGCTGGCTAGTCTCAGTCAATGTCAAACGCATACTTCCTCAGGAATTAAATAATTGAATTAATGATGGTCTGATGGTTGGCAGAACTCATGCTGGGGTGGAGGTGGACGTCAAAGCAAGTGGCAGGCAGGCTAAAGAGAGCTGCCAATTAGTATCAGCTATTTGTGCATTTTCTTATCCTAGCCAAAATCTTATTCAGAGAGAAAAGACTTGCTTGCCGAGTTCTGCCAGTGAATCCAATACTTTGCACTGCAGTGACAACTAAACCACTCCCATACACCTAACTGTGTAAAATATTGTTCCTTAAATGAAATACCATATTTAAAAAAATTCCAAACAAATTATTTTATGTACTCCTTCATTCTTCTGGCCATTGATCTGACTTTAAAGCACCATGTTTTTTAAACTACCCCCAAAAAATAATAGCAAAGACATATAGAAGATAAGTTCAGGCTTAAGTGGGTGTCCACCTAAGTTAACGACTGGATGGTTATCTTGGAAAACTACTTAACTAGGGAGATGAAACACATATGTGAATCTTAATAATTACCAGGAGCACCTACTGGACTGAAACAACAAGATACTTTTACATACAACCACAATTCCCAGCCAGTACTTTGCAAATGAATATCTCCTACTAGGAGGTCAACAGGCTGACTCACTTTTATAGACACCTAATTTAACAAAACATTACAAAATGCTACATCTATGAAATGGGGTTATTTGCAGAAGATTTAACAAAAACATGTGACTGCTTATCAGGATTCCAGGCATAGTCTCTACAGGTATGCTTAGTCCTTGTGTGAAGGACTCTTCTATTCAAGGAAAACACAATTACAAAAGTAGTTCAGCAGCAAATAGCGAGCTGATATAAAATATTATACAAAAACCTCAAAAGACCATTGATAAATTTGTCAAACCTGTTTGTTTAGAATGCAAAACTACATTTAATACTCTCATCTAAGAGCTTTTTACTTTTTAAATTTCTATAGTGTGGAATAAATGACAAACCAATGCCAAGAGACAGACCAAAACAAGATGAAAGATGGATGTTTATGATTTTGCTAAAGTGCAGGGATTAATGATATGAAATATGCCTTTGTGTCATGCTGTAAATTTTATGTTACTGTTGAGCAGTGACATAGGACATTAAGAGTCAACTCACACAAACAACAGACAAAATTGCCTTTGAAAACCTATTTAGGTTGCAGATATGTGATGATAAATATGTTTGACAACTCTAATCACGCCTAAAGAAGGGTCATGATATGTCATAAAGAATGATTTGCATTCAATCCAGTGCATTCCCAGGGTAAATGGAGACCTTATCTAGTCATTTCAGCTTCTATTATAATAACCCTCTATATCTTTAACTGTTTATATCATTTTTAAAGAGCTGCTGTCA